ATTCCTGGGTTTCGAGAACTCAGTTGCAACCTGAGGTTTTATCGCGCGACTCAACGAACATCAAGTTAATGCTACTCTTCAAACTAATTTGCTGCACAAAGGCCACCTCATGATTCAGTCTGCAAGATACTCAAGAAGACTCAAAACCGTTGATGAAAACATCCAATTCTCACCAGATTCCCCATCCCTTTAGTACTTATCGAGGAGGCCGGCGCTCAAAGTTTCATTATTCCTATCTTTCCTTTGAATATTCTTTTGAATGATGGAGGTGAACATCCATCACAAACCAAGACAGCTTGAATACGAGAATCAGATTTGCCTCTATGTATAGTCAACATGCATATGCAATCAAAAGTTTTCAGACAGATTTAAAGCTTACATGGAAGGACCTAATAACCAGTTCATTTATTCGTCGGAATCCTGGATCAAGACCTGTTATGTCGTTAAAGTTTAGAAATTTTAACTTTGGGACATGAAAATTCAGTTGCGTTAAACGAAGGCTGATGTGTTGGTGATGACAAGCTACTTCACATTACAGAAGACTAAAAATTAAGTTTTAAAACTGTACGACCACAGAATCGAACTGCTGGTGAGCCTTAACATTATAAAGCTTGAATTAAGAACTTTAGCATAGACTAACCGAAACAGTCGCAGCAGGATAGGACAACGTCATTCAGATAGGAACGACGTGGACAAAACTTTTATACATTTATTGGCTTTGTGAAATCATGCAGATTTGCTTTATCCTGTAACGAAATACGCCCTATCTCAAACATTTCATGTTCATCTACAGAAACAGATGTTCAGAAAGCCTCTCTCCCCTAAATACGGTCTCCCAACTCACGCTAGTTACTTATGCGCGGTGGCGGAAACGCAGTAAAGATGCCTGAAGATTTCGAGAGCAAACATGTAAAGTAGCTAGCTGACTGCCACTCAAAAATAAAGTCGTCCCCAGAGCTGTTCTTCCCACTAAACTGTGTCCATACTAGCGCTAGTATCAATGTGCCCAGTTCAAAATTGGATGTGATGTTGAATGTCCATTTGTACGGGTTGTCTATGACCCATACGGACAGAAACATTACCTGATCAACAATTACGAGAGTCCTGCATTCGGAGGGCTGCGATCCCAGACAGTGAACAAACTAGGCCATCCTCATGCTAAATAGAGTCTAAATGAAAAATAACGTAAATAAGCAGTTTAATTTCGTTTTTTTATGTGAGAACATGTCGTGTACCATTGGTTTCATGTTTCTAAAGACGCGTTGTGCTGATATTATATAGTGCGAAAAATATGTTGGTCTCCAAGTTCGGTGAAATGGAATTGTTTAGGATCAGTTCCCACTGGTTTTAGGATCCAAAGAAGAAAAAGATAGGCTTGTCTTTTCAACGTTTATTCAGTACTAAATAATTTTCAGAAACAGGTTAAAATGTTGTTGAAATGTAGCAACAGGAAACAAAGGACGAAGTGAAGTATATAGCGTTACACCAGCGAAATTCGGTTACCAAATTCTGGCCCAACTGTTGGTGATCTGAAGGCTGAGATTTCCTATTTCAGTACGCCTCGAGTCGCATAGCTACAGGGAAGAAGTTGTGGATTCTGTTTCGGATTCGCTGTAAGAATCTCGTGGTATGAGTCGCGGCATTGCAATTAACCAGATTATCACACTAACGAGAAACTGAAAACAAAGTGGGGAAGGATTAGTAGCTTCTACATATGGAGCCAATCAAGCAACATTTAATTGGCATTTAATTGACATTTAATTGGTTAGGGTATGTGATGAGACAAATGACTGGATAGTCAACATTGGTTATTTTTACAGTGAAGAGTAGATATTTCAACCGTGATATACATTATATATATGTGCGCATGTGTAATTATTCTTTAAAAAACGTGGGTCAAAATTTCCGGCAAAAGGCAAATCTACATAACCTAATGACACATTCGAGGGTTATTTTTGGGCTTATTCAACGGGATGACTGAAGTCTTGTAGAGCGGATCAGATACACATAATATGCCTAAATCTAAGTCGATGAGCTTCAGACACTTTGCATATGAAATTCACCTCACTCGAAATTAGGACTTCCATGCGATGGGAAATTCTGTCAGGAAGTCCACAGTCACTTTGAAAGGGGCTTACGAACTGAATCACTCTAAGTGGAGTTAAACCTTAAAAGCGCTAAACTGTTGAATTAATGACAAGTTGAACTGAGACTGCCAAACACCAGACTGTGAACTGAACCAAGGGTATTGAGCTGACGAGGATACGGAGAGCAGTGTTAGATAAGCCGAGGTGACACGTAACGGTGTGCCCGAGTCAATAGCAAAAAAAGCCAGACCATAGCTTTCACGGAATCGTTCTCACACACCTATTTTAGCACTAGCTCATCCACACAGGCAGACAGAAACTGTGGAACACATTCGAGAGAGACCATCGAATGAAGTGAAGCGGAAAAACTGGATCCTAAGCTGGGCCCAAATCCATGTAGGTTCCCATCGGTCTCAGAAAGTTCTGATTCACCCTTCAAAAACTAAATCGATTAGATGACACCCAACATTGGCTTAGATTGATTTACCTTGTCGGTTCTTTTCCCGCCCTAAATTTCTACCAACCTCGTGATCTAATCACTTGGCCCTGAAAGCTGTTTTGTCAACTGCAAAACGCTGGCTAGCAATACAACTACCGATTGTTTTCGAAACATTTCCGAAAGTCATTCGGACTCTAGCGTCATGTTCCAGTTTAGCCTTCTGTACTCTGAGACGACAAGCACAAATAATAGTGGCATTCGGACATCATTTGGAGTTATTTGCGTGAAGAAATTCTTTTAAATCTCCAAACACAAGGCATATTACTTTATCTCTTGCACGATGTGTGTAGTATTCAGATTAAGAATTGTCAGAGGGGACGGTCGTACATCTTAGGTTTTGAGGTACTCCACTGACGTTTCTTGAGGGAACTTCTGTCCGATTTCTTCAAATATTGAAATTGATCTAAAAAACTAGAGCGGTCATTCATCTTTCCTGAGAGACTTCTCTGACGTGGTTTAGCGTACTACAGAGTACTACAAATGGATATTGTGCTTCTATGATAAAAAACGTTCCATGAGTTAGATTGAGTAGGGAAATTGAGAATTACTTTCTGCTACGCTTGAAGAAACATGAGGATGTGTACACTCCGTAAACTTGTAGAAGGCCATCCTCAAAGTAAATATTGAATGTGGTAACGGCAACTTGGGTCCAGAAAGTAACCTGATATAATATGGCATGTTGAGCTGCATATTAAGTAAACGAACGCGAATATGCTTTCACGTACCTGGAGCAGGATTTTAATGACCACTCTACTAAGTTATCACAAATAAACACAGTGGAATAGAAGAATGCCAAACTTTAGCGCAAAATAAAACACAAGTTGATCCAAATGGGGATGGTACTCCCATAGATTACTCGTAGACCTAACAGTGCGGGTTATGTTAGCTTGATTCAGTGTGATCTGCTACTGCGGGGTTCGAAAATCTTGAACACCTGAACTGCTTATGGTTGATAGGTAAAACAAAAATCTTGAACACCTGAACTGCTTATGGTCGATAGCTAAAACGATACACTGCCGTGTTTGGCGTATTATCAACTCTATGCGTGACATTTCGTCCAAAAACGATTGTACTGCTGTCAGTGGGAAAAGTAGTCCATACAGTTTACCTCCTCTAATTAAAAATGGCAATTAATCCTACACTACTGCAGCAGCAACTCATCCGAATAAGAGTGCTTTACCTGGACCAAAGAGAGTCCGGCAAACCAATACAAGCTTTTATAATCGAAAAACTCCTCTCGGAGATATCCAGGTAGACGTAAGGTCATGCAGTGTGGAGCAGGAGCACACGGCAAGACCTGCAAAGAAAGAGAAACAGCCAGGATAATACATACGAAGAAAAAGGGATATTTTTGTTGACTATGCATTAGGGTAAGTTGAATAGGCAAGGCATTGAAAACAACCTCCATCTGGAGGGTACTTTTGCTAGTACTAGACCAATGACGATATAAACCAGCGTCGATTGTAAACTATGCTCATTTTGGGATCGTGTATTGTATATATTCGGCAGTGGGGAGGTAATCCAGAAGGGATGTTGAAACAAAGCAATATGTTCAGTGTGGAATCATTGAATACTCATAGCTCTGCACACATACATGAGTAAAATACTGGGATTATCGAGTCTTCGTAACGTGTACGCTATTCATATCCGACACCTTTTGGAACACCCTATTCAGATTCTGGATTAGACGAGATGTTGCCATATTAAAAAACTCGAAGAAAAGAATGTGTGATCGCAAGATCCCTTCGCCATGTGGCCTACCCGGAAAAACTATTTCCGCCCAATATTAGAGTCCTCAGACAGCAGCGTTTCAGTGGCTGTCCCATGTACTTGCTGCGTCCTCAAGAACGGTCCTCTCAAAATCTAAACCCCTTCTCGCGAAATACCACTTACTGCGCCAAAGCCGAGAGTTTTCTAGGGAAAGCCAGCTGGGTGGGTTAGCGGAAACTAGTTGAAGTCTATTATCATCCTTTCCAAAACAGATTGACTGAGTCGACAATCTGCACAAAACAAAAGCCAGGACAACTGTCTACATCCATCTGTCCGCCATGTAGTCCCATATACTCCTGATCACCGTGTCATCGCTGTAGTCGCACAATGGAATAATAATTCCTGAACTGTCACCAGCCTTTTTGTAAGCTTATGTTACATCCTCTCCACAGTGACCTCCCTAGTGTTATCAGCCGGGAATTAATGCAGACAGTCCGGTATTTGTCAACCCATTTGTATTCTGTTTCATTCCATTCAACCTCTTCTGGACAGTTTATGCCACGACGCTATCCTGAAACGCATGACACCACCATTTTCTCCGTTTACTCGGTCTACCGCTCATCTCTATTTCCTAGTCTGATTAAAGTAGTCATACGTATTTGATACACACACTCATCGAACATTTATGAATATTCTTTTGACTGCACTGTACTTCAAATTCAATGCCAAAGTTACAGATACAGTTTTTTTGTTTATAACTTAACACACCCAGGTGAACCTTCTTTGAACCATGTTAGATACCGCTGGTCCGTTGTAAACATTCCTACCAGAGTTGAGCGAAATTAATTTTCGTTACTGCAAGCTAATCGCCCACGAATCGTAAGCGGTAGTAAATATACTCCAATGAGAGTATATGCACTCTCAGCGTCCTTCGCGTGTACACATCTGTTGGGTCTGTTGAATTTATTGGCCATGAAGTATTGACCCAGATGCTTCGGCATCGTAAAGATCTTCCTCGTTATGAATTTCTGTATAAAACCCTACCGTCCTTGCAACGAGTCACGTTGATGCGTCATTTCTAAAGGCACTTGGAATGATAAACGGTAAATTTTATAAACAGGGGACAAAAAACTACTGACTATCTTCTTATCAATAAGGCTATTTTGTGCAAATTCAACGCAAATTGACGATAGACAATAAAATTTACCTAGACTGTATCCCGAACCGAACCACCAATCTGATGGCTAGGAACGCCTAATCGGGACGTGTATACCGATTGCCATTACTCAACCACCCTTGACATCATTTTCAAAACACAATTACTTGCAAATTTAACTGGTTTTAACGAGAGATTTGAGCGAATCCCAGGTTACTCGATCGTTTCCGCTGTTCTTCAACTACATGTGCTACACAATATTGCACATCACGTTTCAGATGGTACGGTCTTAAATATGCTGCAGTACATTGTCTGGATGAAACATACTACTCGAACATCGTCACTTTTGGTACGTGCTTCATTACCGCGAGGTTCATAGAAAGTTATTACCACATTGGATGGCAAACAGTACTTTAAGACTCATTTGTTTCGAATGCTGAACCCTAAGACCAGAGGAAAAACTATCTGTTTACAGAGAATAGAGCGATGAGAATTGCTCCTGAATGTTCTCTTCCATACACTATTTGATGATGAGTGCGAATGATGCAACGGTAGACAGTCTCAATGGGTTTTCACCAAAGTACATAACAGGAAGAGTGCTGGATCTCCTCAGATAGTCAACTCGACCAAGACACCGACGTGAGGTGAGAAAATAAGGAATTTCACGAGCACTGATTTACTGTTGTCTAAAATTAGCTGGCATTCGCCCATGAATGACCTTCCTGTGTTCCAGAGCATCTTTGGGATTTCGCAAACTGGGAAAATGAGCTGTTGCCACAAGATACTTGTGGCTTCTGGGGATGTTGAACGGCAGCAGTGGCAAAAGTACTGGGGCTGTAAATTGCAGAAGTACACGGTGCATAGACCGTTATAGCGAGACCAAAGGTCTAGGATGCATGCAGCCATCGAGTTCCTGATCAGCTTCTTCACTATCAGCCAGGAGCATCCAAAGCGAGGACCACTTGGACGGGTCCGACATTGGTGGTGGCCGCATTAACTCTGGCAAAAGGTACTTGTAGACAACCTCGGTCTAACACAGAGCTCCACCTCCATCTGACTGAAAAAACTTCAAGTTGACCGGGGAATGCAGTTACCAACGCAAAGATACCGATCAACAGAATGATCGTGCTGGTTGCGTAGTTTGCAATTCCGAAATCCATGTGAGCACAAAATGACACGTCATACATCAATAGGGCCTACCGGGAACTACTTATCCTTCATTAAGTCGCAAACACCCAACCGAGACCTCACCATACGGCACCGAATGGTCTGGCAGGAAGCACAGTGAGCACGGCGAAGCAGTGCCTTCTGAAAAATGGGACCTAATGCAGGACACCCACGGAGTCTACTGAAATGTCACTTACGGAGTTTGGTCGAGTACTCAATGACTATTTCCCGTGTGAGAACAACTTTACTTGCAAATTTGTGCTAGTGAAGTCGCACTACCCTCTCGCCAACACTACCATGAACCATTGGCTCCAGTAGTACATCCCACCTAAGTTGATGGAGTGGCCACCACAACTAAGCGACGTGGTGCTAGAGCGGACCATGAAAAGACGCGTCCCCAACCGGAAAAGATGCTAGGTGTCGATAATCTCACAGATTCCACTTGTTCCAACAATCCTCAAAATATCATGCTGGGTCTAAGCATCACGGCCTGACCGGGCACAGATAATGAGCCGTCATTAGTGTACCTCATTCCATTATCTGACATTGTCAAGTCAAGGCCCTGAAATCCTTATTAGACCCGAGATTACCAACTCATGGGAAACGGATATTGTTACGGCTGATCGGCGATTGTTTGTCTCCAATATAATGTAAGAAAAACGGTGTAACTGAAGACTCTTCGAAGAGTTCTCGGCAACCTTATGAGCAGTATGTTACATCTATAAAATGTATTGCGATGCTAGCGTATCGTGCCAACTGAGATATGTCACTGCCTGTAGCAGCACAATGAAAGGGAGATTCAGTTGGGTCCCTGGTGAAAACCAAACTGACATGCAAACGGTATTATTTCTCAGAGTCACCCCAATTTAGGTTCAGGCAGAACATAAGTTTAACGGAAACTCGGGGATCCCGTCTACCTGGTGAGCCCCAAGAAGGGCGAAACCGGTCGTGGGCCGTCAATAAGTTTTCAGCAACCTTGTGAGTAGTTTCCTTGGTAAAAGTTCAGTTATATCGCTATTGGTGAACGAAACATGTGAGGAGACAAGTAACGAACCTTTTACATTCCGTCGCTAACGCAAAACACCTTTGTAGGTTAGTAGCGTAGTAGCAAAAATGAGCATAACTTATGAAGTAACCTGGCTTAAGATTGGGCTGGAACTATGGGGAAAGGTTTGATCCCTGTCCATGGAACTGACATACTTTCAGTGGGTGATAGACAACCGAGTGGGGTCGACTAAATGACATGTTGGCAGTCAATATAGATAACAGGGCCTTGAGTGACATTGAGTGCTTTTGCGTCAATGTCGCTGCGTATTTGAAAATGATCTGGCGAAAAACACCTATTTCAGCCAATATCAGTGTCACAGCAACTGAAGATGAAGTAATAGATGGTGTGAGCCGCAGAAACTAAGGGTGATCGGAGTTTACTGGTATGCAATGTAAGAAAGATCTTGTGTACGGCCAATGAATTCCGGTTGGTTGGTTGCTTAGTGCAGCGGCTCAATGCCGTCTAACATTTACAGTTGTGCGATGGCACTTGAAAAGGGAATAGACAAAAACCTTTTTCAGTACAGTCAGCATGGATCGATATTGCCACCAGATGAGTTAAATATTGAATGCCACATAAGTCCATCGCTTATATTCCGTCTGGCATGATTCTAACATGAGAGTCAAGTAAACGCTGGCCCATAATAATATTTGGCCGCAGGTCCTGCAAAACACTGCCTTGAATTATATTTCACGATGCGATGCCACTTGTATGATTTACGAAGACTCTTCGGTTCATAGGTGGCATTGATCGCCTTTATTATGCAAAACGACTTTCAAACGCGCGTCATCAAAATTACGATCAAGATTAATTGGTGTTGACTGGATTCCGGGGGGTAAATTCATGCACTCGACCAGAGCAAAGATGAGGAGAAGTCTTTCTAATCTCATTGGATTTTCAGGCTTACTAACAAATGGAAATGGGAAAGGCAGAGATTATCTGTGAAGAGAGGTCGTGAATTCTGAACCGTGAAATCAAGGCAAACATTCTGGTTAACGTCATATCATCTCTGTAAGCACCTTCTTACTGTAGTCGGCATGCCCTCACATAACAAGTCCACCTACGTCACCGGCCAATGGATGCGAGCTTCTAAAGCACCAATGATCGCGGTATCACCGGCTCCATATCATTGAGCCAAGAACGGCTCCGCCATTGTCGGTTTCTAGTTGAGACAACCGGTAACACTGGCCGTTTGAAAATTCCTGGCTTATGTTATCAGACACGAAAGACTAGGGCTTGTATGAATGTATCCGCAGCTACAAAGAAAATAGCTACATCCAATAGGTCCATTGATCCATGTGTGCTTTCCGGGTTACAAATAACTTGAAGTCACTTACTTCCTCCGATGCTCCAAAGCAGACGGCCGGTTTTCGGAGCTTCCGACTGGCACTGGGGGTTCCGACTTCGGCTCCTTCACTGTCCAGGCACACCCGCCTTCTCCATCGATAACGCGTGGTAGAGCAGTCAGCAGGTGAGCAAGGGGAGGTGTCGGTCCATGTTGACCACGTTCCTACTGGGTCCTCACAATTTACACCTTTGTGTTGTGAACAGGTGTAAAGGACATTGGTTCGGAAAGGTGCACAGGTAATAGGTCAATAAAAGCATAGATGTAGGTAGGTAAAACTGGCGTCATATGCCAATCAGGGTATGTCAAAGTCCTGAATTTACTGAACTATGAGACACACGAAATCACTTGACCGGACGCATTCCGCATTACTCAAACTGGATCAGTAAAAACCCAGCATCTTTTAGGGATGTGGTGTTGGAACCTTATGCTTCATTGCCTAATCCGAGGACATATTAAGTGCCTGAACCCCATCCTCACTGTCCCATTTTCCGACCTCTGCTGGGGCATTCTCTTCTTAATGCTGTGAGGCAGTTATGTGCAAATGTTTAATGTTGGTGTACTGGCGTCGAAGATACTGTTGATGACAGGAAACACACTAATGTACCTGTAAGCCGATCTCACCAGGGTCGTAAGACTCACCGAGTCTGCATTATCTTCACTATTTTGCAATCATTTAACCAACAGTCGAAACGAACTTATTGAGCAACATCGGCAGCCAGTTTACCTGTGAATAATGCACCGATACCATAGGTGACCGGACAAACACAAACGGCACGTGTAAGGTCAACTGATGTCAAACATTTTCCTCCATTGAGACAGGTTATGCCCCGTTTCCTGATTGCGGGCAGCTTTCCTGTCTGTTGTTTTGACGACTCGAATTGACTCGGCATCGCATAACCATAACAAGGGTTCAAAGGCAGTAGACAGTTGTCTTCTCCCATATCCAATGAGGTAATGTATCCGTACCTGCAGGTGCAGCTGTAAGTGTCTTCTCCGATAACCGGATTGCACTCGTTGCCCAAATTTACCTGACAGTTTTCATTTCCATTAGGTAATGACTGCCGAAGGAAAGTAGAAAGAACAACTTGAATTTAAGGGATTACTTTTTCGAACAGGTTCCTTAATAAGTGATCGTTTAGAACACTGGACGGAATTAACCTGATGTACCATGCTGCACACAGAGCACTATCCGAAGCAACAAACAAATGGTTTACTGGAAAATAACAAGGCCAGTGCGACAGACAGCACCTGCACTGTCTATCAAGATCGACGCGGTAAGAGTGATGGAGGTTACCTGTACTGGTTTGATCTGTCGAGGTTGTGTTCGGGATGATAAGAACATATAAGAAAACAACGAACAAGTCAGTAATACGCACTGGCTGGTAAGCAAGCTACCTGTCCCCTGGCGTAAGAATAGGATTTCGTATTAACATGATGTTAACTCAGGGTCCATAATTAAGGGCAAAACCTCCTCGCTGTCGACAGACGACATACAGTCTGTCGAAAACGGGAAGACCTCCACAAGACGCATGGTACTTCCATTTTCTCAATCGTCACTCGAAGCAGGCTTTTGTATAAACCGTATTACGAGACGGTCCGGCTTTAAATTCGTTGCCACGTTGTGAGAAAATTAGGATGCTTCTCAAAGGCGACCAGCATGCCCATATTTATGAAAGCACTGAGGAAGGACGGTTTAAAAAAGCACGGTCCCAAAAACCATATATTCTGATCGGTCAGCGGTTGACCATTAGCGCCGGTGAATTACACAGTACAGTAAAAAAACAAGTAAACATTGCTGTTAGCAGTACATAAGTTCAAACGTATCTTCAGTGCACAGCGGCATCAAAAGCCAAACATCTATGCCTTGCTGCCTGTGCTGTCTGTACAAGCATCCAAGGGGCAACGCTGCTGAGCTTTTGGCTCTGAAACTGGTTCCTTAAGGAAACCTCCACTGCTTCATCGCGGTCGCTACTTCTGAGCCAAAGGTTACGAGCGTAGTCTTTGAATAAAACCCTACATCCGCCCACTGTCTTTTGTTGAGGATAAGGTTCAAGATGGAGTGCCTCAAACAGACCATCTTCTACGGCCCAGATCACCGATAAACACCAATAACACCTACAGTTATTCATTCACCAACCCCCCCTAATCATCCTCCCAGTAATTCTTTGATTCAACTAGCTGCCAATCACCTACCCATTGCCCCGTGCCTAAATTTCTGCCCAGTAGCAAAAACAAAAAATCTCTGTTGAATTTTAACTATCTGTTCCACATTGCAGCTTTCAATGCCCGTAGTCTGAACAACAAGCATCCGCCGCTCAGAGTTGGTTTTCTCTCACGACCGACGTATGCTGTGTCTCCGGAACAAGTATGAAAGTCCCCAGTTAGGTCATTGACCTCAGATCACTCGGGATAAAGCTAGACTTCTCGTACATTAGATTTTGGATGTCTGGTGGTCCTGATAAAATACATTTTGGTACCTAGGACAAGGGAATAGTGCACAGCCTCCGGGTTAAATGTGCTCGAATGGACTGGATTCCATTACACAGGCGTCTCTGGGCTGTTCTGTCCATTGGCCAAGTAAAAATCAAATCGTGGAGACGACAAATACACTCATTTGCAAATCAGTTTGGTTTTCACGAGACTCAACAGCACATTCAGTTGTAGAATATCATAAACGAGAGATTCAATTGAGTCTCTCGTGAAAAGCAAATTGATTTGCAAATGAGTGTGCTTCTCGAAAACAGTCCAATTTGGGCTCAACTAGATCATAAGGTTGACGGAAACTCGGGGCCATGCCTTCTTGGTGAGCCCCAAGAAGGGCAAGACCGGTCGTGGTCTGTCGAAGAGTTTTCAGCAACCTTGCGAGTAGTTTCCTTTATGAAGGTCGTGGAAACGTTGTGATGAATGAACTACTGTGAATGGGTCGTGGTAGTTACTGCACCCCGACTAGTTGTCGATTGGTTCAGTAATCATGAAAAGTTCATTAGAAAGTCTGAACTAATACTGTTGATAAAAACAGCCACCTGTACAATCCAGTAGCAAAACTGAATAAAAGAATGTCAATGGTATTGTGTCACTCATCACAAAACTATTTACAGTGAAAGGAATCCGGTGATGATCCCTAATAACTCTGAGATGGGCGCTATCTTAAGGTAAAAGTTTGTATTTGTTGCTATGTATGGTGTGGTTGTAACCAGCGCAAAAAAATTCTCTACCGGAATATCCAGAGAAGTGTAATGTGGCCGATGGTATCCATACGCGAGCGCGTGACTCACACAAACACCGGTTGTGGAGTTCTGATGACAAAATACATCAGGACACTGAACTGCATCGAAACTGCACAAGCGGAGAATGACGGTAGCAGTCCGTAGCACTGCTGCCTGAGGTCCCAGTAGGTCTGATTTGTAGCCTTCAACTACCCGACTGAAAATGAAAATTTCTTAAAAGTCTAAGAAGGTTGGAATATTCGGTTGATTAACAAATGGAAATTAGGAATACATGAATTTAACAGTTTGTTTGGTCTAAAAAAGTAAATAAATTTAGAGAAGACTGACAGAACACCTCCGGTTTCCCTCCGTTCGGAGCCTGTTACAGAAACACTGTTTCTCAATTTCAATTACTTGTACCTGTGATTGTACCTATGGTGAATAGCAAGCTCGAATGCAAATTCAGGTCTAGCGAACGTAGGATTCAAGCAAGCAAAGAACGTATTCTTCGTTTATGATGTTCTCCAGCTTACCACGAAGATAAATTTTGAACAAACTTTTCACTATGCTTATATGCAAGAAACCGAAGAGACAGAAGCAATAATAATGAAATCCGCGAACGCCCCCGGCGTAGGCTATTGTTTTTCGACATTTTTTACAACAGACAGTTTCCTGTTCTACATCTCTGTAGAATGGTCAAACCTCTGTCATTTTCAAAATGAACTTATGGAGCCGTCTGAAAATCAGGTCAGAGATACCCTACAACTCGAAGGTAGTTTGAATTCCAAACAGCTTACGCTACGGATGTAAACGAATTGACTACTAAGTAATATTCGCCTATTATGGAATGGTGGTATGGTAGCAACCATTTATTCTAATGAATAGAAGAGAGCTGATATTTCATAACAGCTTCACGTAGTGCTGATTGGAATAGCATCCCGGGACTGTCTTGGCTGTAAAATGCTTCGCGATTGCTGTCTTTAAAAAGCACCCCTTGAAAGTCATAGCATAGAACGCGTGTACGCATGGGTCCGGAGTTTCATCTGACATCCATACATTCGTTTTCAAACAATATAAATATTGTCTCAAAGAGTCCTCTGCCTATCCAATGGGACTCACAATTTTTAATGGGGTGTGGGATAGGCATAAAATCATTTTTTAAACGTAACCGGGTATGCACGTCATGGGAACACCTATCGTAGGGGACAGTCCATCTTTCGTAATTCAAACACATCTAGGCTCTGATTTTTGGATGCTGTTCTTGGGAGGAACTTCAATCTTAGATGGATTGTTAGTCCTCTTCAATTGGACAACTACACTTCATGCTTGTTTCAGCTTCACGTTTACACCCAGTGAATACACAGTTGGATAATAAACTAGCAAAGGTTAGAGAGACTCTAGTGATCAACAACGATACGTGAATAGCAGATTTAACAGAATCCCGGACTGAAACTGAGACGATAAGCAGTGCCTGAGGAACTAGGAAAAATATGGGAAGAATGTGCTGAACTCACCAAAAACCCACCTTGTTTACGCGCTCGATACAAGCATTACGCTTCACAGAACAGTCTTTTCCCATAAAGCCATCTTTGCAGATGCATATAACGTTGTAATCATCTTTTGCAATGCACCTCAGTGTGTTTTCTGGTAGACAAGGTGCTGGATTCTTGCGAAGACAGGGATTCACCAGTCGGCAAGTCAGTACATTCGCGTCCCACAAAGCATGATCATCGCATTCACATTTATAGTCATTCTGAAAAGTACCAAAATAAGCAGCAGTCACTGAAGGCTGGAATACAATTTGACAGCCTAAAAAGTTGCATGTGGTCCTGCCACTTATGAGTGGCCTGTTGATAGTGTATAGCCTCAGAAGTAAAGTCCTTTGACCTTGGACAACGTTCTTTGTGGGATTCCAGTTGCTGTGGTTCATATATCTTTAACCTTTATGGATGAGTGCGCATTGTTGGTCGATTTTAACTAAACAACGTGGTAAATGATCAACAAGACTGCTCTTTCAGTGAGGAGAAGTCAGTGCATAACATTCGGTCTGCCATGAAAAGTTTATCACAGCAGGAGAGGTCAAGAGCAGGAGTGGAAAAATTACAGCACTCTAGTGAAAGATCGTGTGAAACAAGTTAGTTAGAACATTTTGAGTTGGGAAACTATCCCAATAATGTTTCGTCATCGCAAGACGAAACGAAAGTGGCTACACTTGGAAGGAACGACTTAGGATCAACGTGATTCAAATCATCATCCTCATCATCATTGTCAGCTGTAATAACCGCGTACTCGCCGTATAGCGGTTGTAGCTGCCGCAGTTTCGTTCAACGATGATTCGGGGGGAGGGGGAGTTAGCTGCGCATTGCAGGCGGGAGCTGATAAATTGGTGCATAAATCCAGCACTGTCAGTGGGCTGTCAAGTGGGGTGGGGAGGGTTGGAAAAGGAGCTATGCATTGAAGGCAATAGCATGGATGCGCGAAGGCCATTGATGGCGCGACTGGGCCATGTCTGACAATGTCTCTAGCCATTGATGTGGCCCGTCTCGGGGTTCCCATCCAGGAAGACGGCTGTGACCAGCGCAGCTGAGTTTGCTAGTAATGGCTTTCATACTTCGCCAGCCTGTTGTCACTTCCTAGCCATGACTACCTAGCTGTTCTGCACGCTGTGCACTAACCTTGTATTTGACATATTTCACAAACAGTGCTGTGTCTTACATTGGCATTGTACTCAGATGTAATTATTTCAAAAGTATCCCGATTTTCCCCTTAGATTTTTTAAGTTCGTTTTCGAATAAATCACGGGCCAATCAAAAACTTGTGTATATTTGTCCTAGTACTACAAGTTTATCGAAAAGATGTTTAGACATGCAGAAGTGATGTCCCACTTACACTTTTGGCCTAATTTTTCATCTGACTGACTGTCTGTGCATAGTAGCCTAAAGTATCTACAATACTGAACTATGCAAAGCACTCAAAACATAAAATTCATAAATGGGATTTTGAGAATAGTTCCGACCAACGCCTAGAGAATCTCAACAATGAGCTCATAGTTACTTAAAAATGACTGTGTCCGGCCGCCTTCTCTCATAGCTTGCGTTTAGCTTTCGTGGATTCCGCGTAGCTCCGCTTGAACCGGTAAGCTAATTACATCAAAGGTACCAACGGCTCCAGTACCCACACCTGATTACCTGGACGATTCCATCGACAGGTTTATCGTCAATCTTATTTCCTGTGGGAATTAGAACCCTGAGATATCTGCTCAGTTACCTCCCTGGGATCATAAAACGGTTACCAGTACTCTTAGTTCAGGCCAACAATTCGAAGGCTGTTGATCAAACACGGATATTATTCTTTTAAAATTCCGCAAAAAGCTTGCGGATTTTATTAGTACTTGGAAGATAACATACAAGAGAAGCGTTTATTGGTTACATTCTGAGGTAGCTTATTATGAGATATATCCCCCAAAACCGGAACGATAGGTGTTGGTTATTGAAGATTATGAAGCCTGTCGGGCTTACTAAAAATTCAGTAGTTATATGATATTACAGAAGACTACTATATCAACTCTAGTACTTGCCTCTAACGGTCCAAGTATTTCACATTTCTTTTCTGGATGCCCGTAGACTACACGCATGCAAGGGTTGCCCAGACACGGATCAGGACATGATCGCTTTGTCTGGGCGAAATCCGTTTCAGATAGGGTTCCGTGTTTTTTGTAAGTCCATTTCTGCAAAGTTGAATAATAATAATAATAAAACAATGACAGTAAAGGTGATCTGGGGTTCGGGATATTTCACCAACAGTGTTATAGTAAGTAAAGTTGTTGGCTTTCGATACAAACCTACAAGAATTTAGGTCGCTTGATACTCTGCAGCACACGTTTGGTACATTCCTTCTGTGTTGCTGGGTAGCCCACCATTTCAACCAGGATTTACATGAAACCGCAAGTCAATCAGACCATGGAATTCGTATGTTATCAGGAGCTGGATTCAAAAACTAGATAGAATGATGAGTACAGTCAGGAGACTTTAGGAAAAGATCTTTGACTAATACCTACAGGGTGTTTATCCTGAAAACGAAATCTAACGTGCAAGTAGTGGATGGAGTGATGTGAGTAAGGAAGATCTTCGTGCACTTTAAAGGGTTACTTACAAGTGGCAGGGGCATCAAACTGCAACGCATCCGAGGAAATTTTTCCATTAAAAACTATGCCAAGGTGCATTCTTCATTCGTGAGCAAACAACTGTTGAAAGAAGGTGAAGTGAATCAACAGAGAGAAATCTAACCCAACACACTCGAATTTTAATCAAGTAGGATTAATTTCAGATAACCAACGACGTTCAAGAATTCTGCCTCATCTTATTCTTGTTCATTATTGGAGACTCTTACTTGAGTGGACAACCCAAAAAGAGTCCCTCGTCTCTCTGAAACCGCTCTCCTGTGCTTGCTACTTCATATTGATGGGGTTAACTGCTGCTAAGTAAATAAATGACTTATATGTGGTCTGATTTTCAATGCTCGAATGTAACGGCGGAAGTTAAAACGCTGCAGAATATTTAGTGACCTTTCTCGGGAAACGGCATTTCTGTTTCAATCCTTCAAAACAGTTATGACTGCACAGTCTAACGAGTAGAACCGGAAACTGAGAAGTTTGGCTCAGCCACTGTTTATCTTTCATCTGAACTACACTTCGTTTTGCAAACCAATAATTCATTGTTGTATCCTGTGGTCATTTCGATCATCTAAGCGACTTGATTGCCAAAATGTTGCTACCAAGCGAAGCGAAATTGTGCATATTAACCCCAAAATTTCCCTTCATAGGAAATCAACTATTAGCAACGCCACTGACGACGGCATATGGATGCTACCAGCTGCAAAAACTTTATAGGTTTTGATCGAGAAATAAGTACCACCAGGCTTTTACCACTTTAAACACAAGGAAGGCAAGCTTGTTGATCCAATATCAGACGAAAAATCAATATCCTACGTATAACTCGTGTGTTTCCACTCCGCTTCTGAATAACTGCCGACTAGTGCCGACAGTGTTCAGTTACAGTCTTGCTGCCGAGGAACGTTGGTAGTGATGTGAACACCACGACTGAAAAAATATCAGACTCCACAACTGTGATATGAATTCATTTGCCCGGATAGTGCACAAAACGCCCGTTGAAATTATAACTGGAATGAATATGTTGTTGTACTGCTGTTGCCAACGACAACTAACTCCATTATCTGGCAGGAGGTTTACTGTAGCGAAATATATACCGAGAGCAGCTTTATTAACAATAGCATCATCAGTTAATGGAGGCTGCTCGTCAGACGATGCGACGGGCTAGCCAGTAGGAAATGTTAGCAAAGGCCAAGTGTAAGAAGCTAGTTGACTTCGACTCAACCAGGTGAAAATTCAATCCCGGGACCATCACAGACATTGAACAACCAAAGAATTGTGGTCACTCTGAGACTCAACTAGGGGCAGTTACCTGCGTCAACATCAATGTAAACAAAGCAACCAATTTTAGAAAGTTCTGAATTCACCCACAAATGTGCTTTTTTTCGAGTCCAGGGCGACATCTTGTAAGCGGCGCTTATTTCCATAATGAGTTTATTGTTCATCAAAACATCTTCAGGTATGGTTAGTTAATCAGATGAATAAGGACAAATCGACCGTTTGGTTTCCAACATGTTGTGCACCACAAAGTTAGACGCTTCCACCTAAACACAAGATTCTGGTTGCGTGCACTTCACGGGGCAGTGAAGACAATAACTTGACATTGTGACATTACTAAAAATCGCGCGGCCAATGAACCAGATGGGCGTGTGTAATGTGGTTTGTACGTTTCCATGAGCCTCTGTACTGAAATGACTGCATTGTCATCGGCAATTTTAGTTACTTACTTACTTACGGACGAGACACAAGTGGAGCCACAAAAGAGCGGAGATCACATAGAGCTTTCACAGTTCCAAAGGTAACTTACGACAGTCACAAGGACTTTCCCCTACTTAGGTGCGTAGACTGTGTTGAATAATTTTGACATTTATCATCGATAGGTCGCTGCGAATGACCGTCAGCAGTATGATATTTAAAACGGGCAGTATGCTGCCAAAACACTAGAACGCTCTACTAAAATCTCTGCATCGAAAAGAGCAAAGCGAACAAACTACGGGTGATATGACTAATTCAGCCTCCCTGTTTCCAACTTAGGACATTGATCTGCAGTCCCTAAGCAAACGCATGAGGTGGGCTTCTTAATGAAAGCAGTTCACGTTAGTCTTGTGATTTAGAATATGGTCATTGTCAGTGCGCAAACCATCAGAAGCCAGGATTAAATAAGGTTGATCTGACACAATAACGAAACAGTTCAAAGGATGTGGCTCTGCGAACCTATGCTGCCACAAAAGGACATAGGAAAAAAGCAATTAAAAGGTTGAAGATAACATTCCAGTAGGATATGGGGTCACCTCGGTGACACACTGAACATGTTCTGGTTAGTGGGCGTACGCATGTGATGTGTGAAGCAAAAGTGGCTTGAACCGAGAGAGGTGTTAGCCCTTGACCAACCGTGGCACGTATACATAACCTGTGTAAATAAGCGTGAAAAAAGGCGCCACCATTTTTCACAATATGGGAGCAACTGTCCCAATTGTCACTCAGTTCGGTAATTCGTTCATTGCTGTCTCATGCAAGTGTAAAGCAGTTCGTTGTCGCAATGACGCTGCTGCTTCGAAACATGATCGTATGTAACGTACCGGGTGAATTATACGCGATTTTTTACGACCATGTGATTTGAAGTGGCTTCTCACCTTTAAACACCAATTGTAGAGGAAAAACATGGAGAAAGTAAAATGCGGATCAATCAATCCCTGCATAATTCTTTTGATTTCTTTTGGCGGAGAAGTACAACTTGGATCAACATATCGGTCGCAACATCGCCACCGGTTGAGTCGGGTGCAAAACATTCGATGCAACAGATATTTGAATTTGTTGAAAGCATCCTCCGCTGTCCTCGATTTCTTTACGATGTTGTCGAATTCAGGCTCTGCAGAGAAGTAAATGGATATTTCTGGAAAAAGTAGTCTTTAAATCCAGTTGGACGAATGAAAACTGAGCCAAGCGTTTCACATTGCAACACTGTCTAGTTAACCACACTCCAAATTCAGGATGTATATTCTCAGCATACAAACCCATAGAAAACAGATGCTTCAATCCATCAGTACTTGCGAGGAAGTATTCTTGACTCCCCTGGGCTACGCCAGAATAGCACTTACACCGGACGCGTGAGTGCGTATTTCCAATAGAAATGTGATCGAACACGTTGAGTTACCTTCAAGCCCAAGCACAAAAGGCTGCTTTGAGTGGTAACGACATACTTGCTCATTGAAATTAACGTACTAGTCAGCATATGGCCTAAAAATGTAGCCGTATACATCTTACAACGGCTAAAATGCATTTCTTTGCCGCTTGTATCTTGCAAAACCATCAATCGACTTTAGTAAAGCGTTCATTCGGATGCAACAATTTTTTTACAAGGCAAAAAATACAGTGCAATGAAGCCTGATGTTGACTAGGCTTGGTCACTGCTACCAGATGCAAAGCGCAATATAGCGATCTGCTCCTCAGGGAATTGAGGGAGCCCAGTTCCGCGTTACAAGTGACAATATCTCTTCTGCTAGAGTTTTAGAACACTGTTTCTAAAATAGCTTATGCAATCGCTGCTACCTATATCACGACTGCCGCAGTCTCCTTACTAAAAAAAACTAGCCAAGAAGACTTTACCGAAGAAACAATTTTCCTAAAAAAAATTTGCCTCCCGGAGAAACATTGAATAAATACATGCTTGCAAAACTTGAGAGTGCCAATCCCAGCCTAACACGATGTGATAGCTAAGCACATGGATAAAAAGCGTAAAAATCGTGTTTGGATGAGATTAGTACGACCAAAAAACAGACTTTGCTAGTCCACTCCTCCCCAAGTCAGTCTTGTGGCCCAACTTCACCTCCAAAATCTGGTGATACTGAGTAGTTTATAGCTTATAGAGCAGAAATTCCCGTTTGAATTCACGGATGTGTAGGCACAGCACCATGGCGCGAACACTTATTGGAAGATTTTTATATATTTTATGTACATATATATCGATTTATATCATGTTGCATTATATATTATTGGCATAATTAGCTACCACAGCAAATTGTGGTTGTTAGTTATTCTGTGTTATCTCTTCAACAACTTTGAGCGAGAAGTTTCACGAGTTCGTTCAGTCTGGCGACCACAGCGTCCACAATGAGCTAAGCGGTCGGAGATCTTGATACGCAGTTAGCTTTCCATATTTGAATCCAACCATGCCAGCCATTTTTGGGCTCTACGGTGGTTCATTTCCTCTGAGATGAGTGATTTCACTTTCTCTGGTCGAAACAACATGAAACCTGTGCACGATAATGTCCCTCATTTACGGACCACTTAGTTTACTTCGAATGAATTATCATTCCAAAGTAGGACCAACCTGTTTCCGGGTTTCAATTCTCACCATTCTCAGCATCTGTGCTGATTAGCAGTAATAAAAGTGGTGGTCGTTCTTCGTATCAACACGGCCGTTGTTCTCTGTTGCAAGGACGGGCCGGGCGCTACCTGCTTTTGTTGCGTTTTGGCTACTCTATTACAGGAACCTTCAAAACTAGATATGATAGCTCGCCATTTAGGCCTCGAAAAGCAAACGGATGTAACTCCTGATATCAAGTTAAAACTAACCTCTCAGACAAAGTTTCGATCAAAATCCTCGTGAACACTTACTAGAGTATGAAATGTCTACCGTTTTGGTTGATTTTTATGTGAATATTGGTGATATACAACCTTGCTTACTGAGCTTCGGCTCATGGGCTTTCTTTCTCTTTTCGGTCCGAAGGAATTGTCATTAACCCCTTCTTTCGGAGAATCACTGTTCCCTGGTGCTTCCATAGCGTACACGCTATAATACATTCAGAACAGCAGACAGCGAATTTCATTCAAGCTGATGACGGGTGTCAGGCTGACACAACGTGCCAACCTGACGTGCCAACATAAGGGCGCCGGTCTGGGACAAAAGGCACCAGTCTGAGGCATGATTGCTAATCAAGCTAACCCCCCTTTCATTATTTTTCATCAAAATTAAACACCTTTCACCTGCAGTTCTTAAATAGGCTTAAACCGCATGGAAACATCGACTACTTTACAATGTAATCACTTTCCCAGGGGTTATCGGCCTCAAGGAACTCTTTTAATGTCCGTTTTCTGTATATTAGGGCTATTCCAAATGTCACAGGAGTTCTGACAATAGATTTACGGGATTTCATGAATGGCTGGTATCGTGTGGATCTTAAATAAAATATTTCGCCACGCACTGTTAACGGGTTGTCTAAGGGCCCTTATTTTTTTAACTTCTAGAACACTTGTTCCACTCTCACGACTGAACATCACGTTACAGTAACTCCACTTCGTCCTACTCAGACATAGTTGACTTCATTTTCTTATGCCTTATGATCAAACGGTTGACTTTGTCTAAAGAAAACGGTCCCACGGATCTAATCATCATTCTAAAGTGGGTCGGCACATGCTTGTTTAGTCAGTGGACTGACAGTGCTCTTGGAAGTTTGACAGAACACACCACACACCGGAAACATTTTTAACCAGAATGAGACCACTAAAACATACTAAGATTCGCGTTACTCGGGCAGCTTCACTGTGGACTGATAAGTATTCATGCTAGTCGTCTGTATTTTACCCAGCACTAGTACACGCTAACTACTGAGATGTGCATTCGCTCGTCGGTTTCACTGAAGCAGATCAGCCAGCTCGAATGTCCCATAACCAAAATGGTGATATGAAACCTGTAAAAAAAAGTGGTATATTCGACTTGCGTTACTAATATACGGGTTCTAACCGATTAGCTTTTTTGCCAGCATCGAAACTTACTTGTAATTTTTTGGAGAGTTTCCTGAATAGTTTCTTTCTCGAAACTGGGCATTCAACAATTTTTTTATCGAATAAAGGTGCTCACATTGCACAAGTCGAAGAAAATTGAAATCCATATTATATACAAGCTGATGCAAAACACTGCCGCACATCCATTTAAAGACTCCAAACTGAAACACTTTAATTCACTGAGGAACTTGAGTGTCTTTAGAATCAAAATGTGGACTGCAAACTCAACGGCCTAGTTAAACGGGATAAGTTAACGTTAAGGCGAAAACTTTCTAGACTAATTTCATTTGAAACTACTTGAAGGGAAGAAGATTTCTAGGAATAAAGGTTACTCAGTGGTTTTTTGCTACTTACTGTACAATAAAGGATACTTCTACCTTTATAGAAACCCTACATCACCATTACCTCAAGATGTGTATATGGTTGACTACCTTCCTAATTCGTATCCAAAACAGCGTTCTCATCTAAAATCAATCAGTCCACTGAAGAACTGAAGATAATAGATGATGTCTTGTTCCTCAAGCGAACTCCCTGGGATCATAGCGATGAGATGGGAAGGGTGACACGTAAAAATGAGGACGGTATGGATTACAGATGTAAATGTAAGGTAGATTCTATACTACATAATAAAGTCGGGGAAGTAAATTCATTTTAAATGGTCAAACGGTGTCACTTGCGTAAGTAGTAAGCCAAGACCACTGTAAAAAAAACAAAGAAAACGCTCGCAGGTGGAAGATAACTATTTCATCCGGAGCTTTAATTTAGTTAGTGTGATTGACAGGGAATTTTAGCCAATCCTGATATGCCATGTTAAAAGGCCTACTAGATACCGAACAGCCAACCCAAAAGCGATTAGGCTGTGTATTCAAGCGCAGGTGCCATTCAAGACTAGTGTCACTCACCCTCCCGTTCCCGATTCATGTGACCAGAGGAGCCCTGTCTGATGCCATCTTTTAAAATGGCCTTGTGTTGCACGCCTCCCATCTAATGCAAATACAGCAAGCCATACATCTTTCGCAACCCAGGCAGGTAGTTGAGTGTGATACAACCTTTGACCAATCCAGCACACAATGCCCTACTCCCTGTATTTACCTTATTGCTTGTCTCATGCTTGGACCTATATACTATATTTACCTAAGAAGGTAGAACAGAATGTGCACCAAAGTGTTGGTATGTAAATCTTTAGAAAAGTAAGCGTCTAGGACATATGGGAAGACACACAGAGTAGAAACGCCCCATGATATACATGGCCATTAACCTATTAAGACAATCCAACACATGCAGAACTATAAAGCGCAGGGCTGTTTCATGATTGTTTGGTGTCCTGTGCCTCATGCGACTCAGTTTACCACATTTTCATACAATTCACAAGAAAATATATCGAAAATAAAAATAGTCCAGGAAAATTTTTTACTGTTATAGTGAACCCATTTTCACTTATGTCATGTCGTGTTCTTATTCTTAGCAACGATACTCATCTATCCCAGCAGGGTAATATAGCGATAAGGCTTTTTTGCAAACATAAAGTAAATTCTGCCCACGAAGTTTACTCTAACACACAAACTTCTTATGTTGCGATAGAAATTCCAATGAAATCAGGATCGACCATGGATAAGGCAGAATGGAAAAATGTTCATGATACTGCTAAACCTACTGTCTCCAAGATATATTCACTCAGTTTGTTTGCCGCTAAATCAGGACATTTTGAGGTTGATTCTAATAGCATAACTCTGTCTGCCGAATATTCGTGCTTCCAGTCGAAAAAGGCATAGTCCATATGCTCTTATGATCAGGTACTATGACAGCTACAATACGTGGATTCATTTATATGCCTGGGAGTTTACTACCATTCATACGTTGCTTCGTTCAGAAAATGCATTCAAGATCCAAGAAAAGCACGGCAGCAGCAACTCACCAAAACTTTGGTTTTTAGTGTCTATTTGGATGGCAGGCAAAATGTGAGATGCCAAGGGATATTTTGGAAAACCGCGTGCAAACCGGCGACCAAATATAGTTTTTGTGAAAGTAAGCCTATCCGAACTTGTATGTTTACGCAGATTCATCAGCCAAATCGCGCCCACATTGTACTCTGTACACGATACAAGGCCGGACAAGGTGAGAAAAATTACGGAGATCAACAAAGTCCTGTGCATGTAAAGGGTTTCAGAGTGACTGGAAGGTAGGAAAAAAGGATAGTATGATCCCGATGCTTCCGATATTCCGCCATATTAAATAGTAGAACCTGCACTCAAAATGCAATTAATTTTCTGGGGCCCTATTTTACCGCATGTCACTTAGCATGATTATTAGTAGGCGTAAAACCTTCAGGGAAATGTGAAGGTGTGTTCTAATCTTCGGTTCACACTTTTGTACCCGGACAGAAAGCTAGCTCAAAGAAGACGACTTTGAAAGCCCAAATCAACATCAGAGGGTATCTATTCCTCCATGAAGTAAAACTGTGCCGATGAAGCCTCCAAGTAAATGGTTGAACAAGCCTGTAGAGATAGCTTTGATGTACACAATCGGCACGACAAAGTGTGGTAAAAAAGGACTACCTTGCGTAAGAGGGCTCTGCTCTATGTGACTCATCAAAAGCTGACTGCAGAATCAACAGAAAGTGAAGGCTGAACACTATCAGCTACGGAAAAATAACGTATTACCATACATTACTTATAAGTGCCACACATTCGTTCGCTAATGATTTGGAGGGGGTGCATAATAAGTATCGGTGATGGTAGTTGATATAAGTATTGCGTGAGTATAGTGTTTTTGATGACCTTTTCATTTGGAAAATCAGCAGAGGATCTATGCAACAGCATGAAACCGCGAGCACTATTAACGGCGCGACTGGACCATGTCTGACAAGTCTCTGGTAATTAAAGTGTCTGGTTTTGACGTCCTTATCTAAGGAGACAGCAATCAATGCCATAACTTAGTTTGCTGGTAGTGGATTTCATACCCCGCTGCCGAGCCACTATTTGACCTCCCCTGGCTGGTTGCCACACTTCCGGTGGTTGTTTGGAAGAGTCGGTCAGCTGATATATGGAGCAGGTAGCTAAGACAGCGCAAACTATGGAGTGTAATCATCTATCGTGGGCTTTACTTGTTTCGAAAACTATTGGGAGCAATTCAGCATCACTAATCCGGTATTCCACAAGACTCGGGTTTGTTTGAAGACGCGCTTTGACGCCCTCGAAGCGCAACGACCAGGTTCCTGACCCGTATAACAAAATGGCCACGTGGTCCAACTGGGTTGGTGGGCATCAGATTAGACGATGTGGTACTTTATGATGGAATTTTGCACTGACTAGAAACAGATAACGATCACCGCCCAATTGGGACAGTTGAGTTCCGTTGTCTGGACTCCGCGAATCAACTTCGAATTCAGGATTTCAGACTACCGAGTTCAGTATCCATAACGTATCAGAGGGTCAAGATGTCAATTCTTCTTGCTTGGCAAATGGGCCATGATAACTCTCGAGCAAAAGTTGCCATCTTGGCGTCCGAAGTGCATTTCATTTCAGCGGATGCAGTACTACAAAAAGGCGTCATTTTGTCTGTCCAGGGGCATTGAGGTTTATTAGGTCGGATATTTGAACGACGCCTGAAAACGGAAATTCAATCCAACAGAGCGCGTTCAATTGTTGGGCAGATCACAACTTGCAAGCCTTGTATCTCATGAGTTATCGCTTCTGTATCTTGAAATCACGTGAAATGAAGTGTGAAACTGGTGAGCTTGTTCTTGGTGTCTTGGAACAGTGTATCCTGCCAATTCATTGCAGCAGTCAAGCCCAGAAACATGAAAAGGTGGCAGTTTCAGGTCTGGAAGGACATATTAAAATGCCCGGCAAACTCATAAATAATACATAGCTGATGTACCCAACCATCTGTCCAGATCGAAATACACTGGGATTTGTATCATTTTGCTTTGAGGTGCAGTCAAAAAATGACTCACAGATGAGGGCTTTAAGACCAAAGGAAAATGCACAGCCTTGGGTCAACCGATTTGTATTAAAGTCCTCAACTAGCAGGTGGTGTCATATTCAGTAGACACTCCTGGTTTGCTTAACCACCTGGATCATTTTCGAAAAAAACAGCAGGGCTGCAAGATCGAAGTGAAGGATTCGACGTCAGCAGGACCCTTGTCACTAAGGTGACTATCATTTGAGTCTGCAATGAATATCAGTAGCATGGAGGGCACGCTGCCACCAGTTATGATCGAAATATCAGTCAGTACGACTTTGCATAATTTACTACTTTTGCCTAACACTGTGACACCACTATCTGCTGTCCACCTGCTTTCTGAATAGCAGGAGAGTCGACATTTTGGCCTTGCTTGGCCCTCATCACTTGAAATTCCGGAGCATAAAGAGCGGTTTATTTATCACTAGTTAGAAGATTGTATTAGAAATCGGTTTCATCTTCACATGAACTCTGAAGCTAAAGTGACAGATGCTCGTGAACTGCTCGACTAGAAGCTTGCCTATGGTCACTCACCTACTCGACAACGACAATGAGCTGTCGGCATTCCCCACCTGGTCCATACACGCACATATCCTCTTTTTCGTGTTCACCGTCAGGATATACTGGTCATGCAGGTAGCCAATACATCTGTTATAAAATTGGTGTTCGGGATGTTTCTTTTGTTTCCAAGGTAGCTGGCATATGGGAGTAACCTGGCTGACCTAGTGCAGCTCTGACGTTCTAAAAAGCACTCAAAGAGATCACTTTCTTTGCCAAGATATTTAGCTCACTTGTGGCAGGGCCGCAAATTATTTTCGTGCATCCATTCTTTTTGGCCTTGATCCCGGGAGGATATGTAGCTCACCGCCTAATTTACTGTCGAACGAGACGTTGCTTGTGAAACCCAATAGATTGTCTTTTGCAAACAATATTTATCCCATCTCAATGCTGGAAAGATCTTAGGAGTACCTCAGTAGCCGTAAAAACCCAGTTTGTAATAAGGCGAATCTGCAGAGCCTCATGACTTAAATCATGAGCTTAGAATTAAGCCCAGTTGGTCGAAAGAGAAGGCTAAACACTTTTTTTGTGCACTTATGCGCGCATGTTTGGCATGCAGGTTTGGCTTGCCATAATAAAACAGATAAAAAACGCTTTATCTGAAACAGGTTATACGTTAAAGACGACAGTACGTTCTGAGAGATGTGGTATATTCGTCTGGATGGAAAACGCAGGCAGTTACAATCAAGAATTTGTAATAGGAAGGGTATACTCAGTCGGAATATGAGAAAATGCATTCAGAATTGGGATAAATAGTTCGATTTCCGCCGTTTTTAGGCAGCGCCTAGAACTTGTGTGAATTGACGTTTTTGAGCAATAACTTGTATCATAATACTTGATAATGGTGGTCGTGGATAGTTACAAAACACATGTTTTCAAACCCTTATTTGTCACCTAGTTTGATTAAGTTTTCTTCGTGTCAAAGAAATAGAAATTGCTCTTTCTTCTCCTTTCTAACGCGTACCTTTCAAAAAAATTGAGTCCGTATCGCTAGGGATCGCTAAAATCTCTGCTACACCAGTCTGGTAGCCACGCCACTCCTCGCTTTCTATGCCGTTGCTGTAGGTTGTTGTCAAATTATCTTGACTCATCCCCATCTATAGGTATTCTTTCTGGCTGCACCATGAGTATTCGCGGGGATATATAACTTTTAAATCGGCCGAGTTGCTAGCAGTCTCCGCTGGAAAATACTTTCCTGCGTCTTTCGGATGGTTCTGCACGTTATTAATAGTGATCGCAGTTTTTATGCTCCCACATATTGGCGCTCGCTCCGTGTACTAAGTACCTTTCACATAGATTTATTGTTATGCTTTGCAAAACAGCTACCCTATAGGCGAAGGCGCACTGCCGACTCGGCGGGTCTATGCAAGCGTGTTGAAAACAATCCTTTTCTGACAAAGTAAGGCCAGTTGTGCATGGATTTTTGAATTGGTCTTTTCTTTTACAACGAGATGTAGCAGAAGATAAGTTGGATAACCTTCGGTTAGTTAACAGTCTGAAAACTGCATCGATTGGAAGTGCTCGTGTGGTTGCGCTTTGAACGTTGCCAACATAGCGAAATTTATGTTGTAGACCCTTCTGCCGAACAATCTAAGGTTTTGTCATGCTCTTCTAACTTTTTCTCGTCAGATACTTTATGTGTGCCTATCCATCTTTTTGATACACAGTTCCAGCACTTCTACTTATACAGTTTCCCATCAAGCAACTTACCCTAAGTTGGTAGTTTTTAGTCGTTAAGCCACAGTAGATTACTTTATCCTACATGGTCTCAATGTTGCTTTCTGATGCGGAGAATTCGTGGTTAGGAACTGGACAACGTTATTGTACGGTATAGACATCATAATGGACTCCAACGGTCCTTACATCAGGCTGAGGACAGATTCGATGTCCAGGGAGGGGAATAAATTTCACAGGTCGTAAACAATGAAGCAGTCAAAAGTACGATGGACTGAGATGTCAATATTGCTGGCAACGTTCTCCTGTGTGCAAGCAAGTTCCAGCTGCCAAGTTCCAGCTCCTGCTAATAGCACAAACTCACAAAAAATTTCTCGTTTTTTCTTCGCTTTAAAAATTGCATGCGTGCAATAAATACCTTACGTTCAAACACATAGTTAAACATCGTCGCTGTGTGGCGCCTTAGGTAAACTGAGTTTGGTGCAATAAATACCTTACCTTCAAACGCATAGTTAAACATCGTCGCTGTGTGGCGCCTTAGGTAAAACTGAGTTTGTCAATAACGCTCGCAACATATGCATGTAGAAATCGTGTAAGTCTTCGGGGATTATATTTAAAATAACGTGATAACCTAGTCAAAGACGAAGTGCAACTGGATAAAACACTCAAAAACGCTGTTGTAGTGCACATAAATTAAAGTGAGCTTACATTTTTCTAAAAACCTACGGAGCCTTTCCTGAACCCCTTAAAAGGACTGCGATAAAGTGGTATTCACCGATATATACTAAAGTGACGCCTGTGTCCAAGATATTTGTTTTAAGGAACGACGGTTGCGGATTCAGTAAGGTCTTTATTGACCTTAATCAGGTGCCTATCTTCCCCTTGCAGTGTACTGAACATGGGCCGCAGCTAATGAGGTTTTCCTCCTGTTTCCCATCCACAGGAATTGTAGTGAGCA